ATCATTTCGAATACTAACATCAACATAATTGATCATATCATATGTTTGTTTCAATAAATGTTTTGTTTATTTTGTCCCATTTAAACAATGATAATTTTGTTGGGAAAAAGACCTATGATAGATTTAGGATTTCCTTATTCTTCGCATATGTACATTCAGTAACTGATATCGCGATCACCGAATGATTTATTTAGGTTTAATTATATTTGACACCAAATTATGAGATAGTCATATTCTATTTGAAGAAAATCGAAAGTTGCGCAAGGAAATTAAAAAAATTAAAGCTAAAACTTTTTTAGCCAAAATTAAAAGTAAAACTCCTTTAGCCAATCGCGTACCCAAAACCGGAGAAGCCGGAGAATGTAGCATTGTTTGCAAGATACCCAACCGTGTACCTAAAGCAGGAGAATGTAGCACTGTTCGCAAGATCCCCAATTGTGTGCATAAAGCCAGAGAATTTAGCACCGTTCACAAGATCTCCAGCCGTGCACCTGAAGTCGGACATGAAGTGGAGTCAGCAAGAGATCACATGTTAAGAAAATATTTTAAGTTTCTCATGGTAATGTTTGCATCTCTATTTTCTCTGTTTGACATGAGATTGGACGATGTAGATTGTCGTTTTGTCGGTTTATGTCGAAATACTAAAATCCGGATTTGATGAGAATAGAGTTGAAGTCCGGTTAATTAATGACCAACATATATGATTTTATTTATTTTTTATGCCACTCAAAATAGCTTGGAGACTATTCTAAGATTTCCGTAAAATGACCACCAGATTTTATTATATTTATCTTTCCATGCCACTCAAAATAGCTTGGAGACGACTCTAAGATTTCCGTAAAATGACCACCAGATTTTTATTATATTTACCTTTTCATGCCACTCAAAATAGCTTGGAGACTACTCTAAGATTTCCATAAAATGACCACCAGATTTTATTATATTTACTTTTTCATGCCACTCAAAATAGCTTGGAAACTAGGGTTTATAACAAAAAAAATCTAACAAACTACCATTAGATTGTGTTGTTTGTAACACAAAAATGTAGAGGTTAATGATTCATTAACAAGAATGATTCAGGACGTACCATTTCTTCTTTTTTGGAAACCAAAACAGGACGTACCATTACTTCTTTTATGCCACTCATATGTTTGTTTCAATAAATGTTTTGTTAATTTTTTTTAAAATGATTAATTTTGTTGGAAACAAAAGAAATAGACCTATGAATATAGATTTAGCCATTTAGGATTTCGTCCGGCCCATTATCTCAAAGTAGTTGACATTAATATCCCAAGATCTGCTTCACGTTGGTTCGGTGGACATCTAAAATCCGAGGGTAGTTTAGTAAATTCATATGGCTACCTACCCAACCAACCAAATTCGTCGTGAACAAAACGCGTCGCGTCTTCTATCTTCGAAAGTTCGAGTGATCGGAAAATATCATCGGCGATGGGTTGGCTAACGAGATTTCTAGTAGCGGTGGCGTTTTTAGCCGCCGGAGTTATATTCTCACCGGAATCATTCGGATCGTTGTCGAACGGAGAGAATTCAGCGAGGCTTTTGATCTTCCTGAAGCTAGCTCATCTTCTCAGCTTCGCTACTGCTTGGGGAGCTGCTCTCTGGGCTACCTTCATCGGCGGAATCATCATGTTCAAGTAAGTACGCAGTTCAATTGAACAAAACTCCAATCATCATGTTCAATTTCGTCGAATTGGGAAATTAGGTTCTGTGTCAAGTGTGATTCATTGTCTTCTTCTTCA